TTTCCACTGCAGAGCTCCGACAGCTGCTGTCTCGCTGCAGCTCCTTTCACAGCAGAAAGCCTGTCACAGGCGTGTGGGTGGACTACCTGCCCAGGAGATTGGGTGCCCCAGGAGAAGCCTGATCTTTTCAGGACGCTGGGGGTTTGCTGATCTCTTTTGTCTGGTTCTTCCCAGCTTTCTCTGAGTTGCTTTACAGAGACCCCACCAAGCTAGAAGCCCCCTGCAGGATCTTGCCCGGACCTCCTATGTCACAACAGTGCGTGGGGCACGAGGTCCGGGCTGGACTCCCTCCCAGCCTGTGGTAGTTAAGGGGGATGGTCACGTTGGAGGAAACACAAAGCCGTGTCCGTGGTTTGCGGTGCATCCCCGTTGTGCTCGTGGAAGGTATTGAGGATAAGGGGTCTCCCCCTGCCCCTCCCTCGGGATACCAGCGAAGGGAGGTCAGAGAGCAGGGACTGGTCCCTCACATCCAGGAGAGCGGACTCCTCTGACTGCGCAGGCCCTGGGAGCTGAGCTCCACGCTGCTGGCTGACCGCACCTCTGCCTGTCTCGCTGCCTCCGCAGGTTGGACCCAGCCCTGGTACGCCCTGGCCGGGTGGATCTGAAGCAGTACGTGGGACCCTGCTCCCGCTGGCAGATTTCCCGCATGTTCCAGCGCTTCTACCCAGACCAGCCGGCAGCTGCCGGGGACAAGTTTGCAGAGCAGGCCCTGCGCATCTCCGAGCAGATCAGCGCCGCCCAGGTGCAGGGCCACTTCATGCTGTATAAAGCAGACCCAGCCGGGGCCATTGAAAACGTGCAGTCGATTTCCCTGTGACCGAGGGCGGGCACCCTCAAAGGGGAGGGGCTTGTGGCGCCATTCCTGGGAGTGACTCATGGAGGACGTGATAACCGTGAGGATGCTGCTTTGTGACAGTCCCAAGGAGCCGATCGCTCTTTGTTTCGCTACCTCAACGAGGCCTTGGGTTTCTATTAAAATATAAAAAGAACTAGGACATCCTGATTCCCACGGTAGCAGTGCACTGTCCGGCGTGATCGCTCCTCCCCAGACGCAGCTGCTAGCGCGCAGGACCCAGCTGTGCTTGAAATGCCAGGTCATTCTGAGCCTGCTAATCACATGGCCATAACCCCCCCCACACACACACAACTCTCAGTCCACTGTCCCCTCGTGGGGGTAAATGAAAGACAGAGTGACGAGATAATAGAGAAGGAAGCTCGAGATGATGCCTGGCTCAGCTCTGGAGCATAATATTTGCCAGCTGCTTTTGAATGTTCTCTGTAAATACAGCACAGCGTGAAGTAGGGTGATGGGGCCCTTTACAACCCTATCAAGCACTGTATGGGCCCTTCTGTCTTCCAGGTGCTTTGCAAACCTCATTAACCCGCTCTGTATCTGCAGGTATTGTTACCGAGTGATCTGTGCTGGGGGAGCTTCCAGGGGCCCCAGCTATGGCCCAGGAGCCTGTCGTGCTACAAACCCAGAACAAGACGACAGTTCCTGTCCCAGAGCGCTCGCAGGCTACCAGATAGTCCCTGCCCCAAGGAGCTCACAGGCTAAGCATGTCCGCTGTGCCTAGGAAATGAGTGCCCTTTGAGTTTCACTGGCGCAGACTCGGGCACTGCATGCGCTCACAAGAAGGGCCCGGTCCAACACCCAAGTTCATGGGATCTTTCCATCCCCAGCAGCGGATCAGGCTCCCAGATAGACTTTTTCTGACTCACGTGAGCTGTCCCTGCTGTGGTATTATCTCCCTTTTATTGAGGGGGGAAACTGAGGCACAGGGAAGCTAAGTAGAGGGCTGCTCAAGCCTCATTTTCAAGCCTAGCCCGAGCCCACCTGACCCTGAGTGGGTTGAGTCGTTTTCAGACCCGGCCCAAACCTGAGTCAGCACCACCTGTGCTGGGGACTTCCCACTCCCCCTGCCCGGGATCTGTCTCTGGCGCACTTCCTGCCTGTTCCTGCGGCCGTTGCCTCGCTGCACTGAGCGTGTGGTGAAGCGAGAGATGCTGCAACTCCTCAGCATGCAGCAAAGGGAGGTGGCAGTGGCCAGCAGGAGTGGGGCAAGCTGCAGCCGCGCCAGGCAGGAGGAGGTGATCAGAGGCAAACCTGAGAGGAGCGGGTTGTTTTCTGACCCAGCCTGCACCCAGCGCCTGTAGTCGGCACCTGTCTGGGTCGAGTTGAGTTGCGAGGCTATAAGGAGAAGTAACTTGCCCAAAGCCACGTGGTCGGTTAGCGTCCGAGCCGGGATTAGAACTACGGTCTTCCTGGCTCCAGGGACCCCTGGCATTGCCCTCTCCAGAGGAGGCCTGCTGCCAGCTGGCGAGAGCCTGACGGGCAGAACATTTAGGGTCACGTAATGCCTGAGCGGAAGCCCACCGAAATGCACCTGTGATCTTCAGTGAGCGTGTGCTCCTTGTGCCCTCTGGGTTTGATCTCTGTCTCTCTGTATAGCTGAGCTGTGTGGGTCTGGCACACACCCTGGGAACGCTTCCCAATAACATACCTGCTGAACCCCTTGTCCGGTGCCCCCTCTCCCCTTGGAGTGGCAGCTGCTGCCATAAATACCGAGGTCACTTCAGTTTTCACTGGCGCGAAGCTCGCTGGGTGCCTGGAGCGGGAGCTTCCTGTGGAGATGTGGCGCTTCAGTGACACCGTCGGCCTCATCCTGGAACCGCTCCCTGGGCAGCTGGGACACCATCTTCAGGTGCGGTGAGGGGTGGGGCGGGCCAGGCCTGTGGGGGAGCCAGGAAGGCCCAGGATAACATGGCTAGTGTCCCCCCCACTTCCTGGGCCCTTCTGTTGACCCCGCCCGCAGGGACCCTCGGCTGGGGGTCTCAGCTAAGCCCTGCTCAGAAGGGGTCGGGGGTCTCAGCTGTGACTGGTTCAGTCGCTTGGACCACCTGTCTGAGCTCTCTGCTTTGGTGCAGCTGTTCTTCTTGGACTGCGACACTCCTCTGAGCACAGGAAGACGGGGTGTGTGAGACAGACAGACATTTTGGGGTTCAACCCAGACCAGTGACGGGCTGTCACCGCCTGCCCTGCCCCTCTGGTACCTTCACTGCAAAGCTGCTGTCTCATAGCCCTGCCACCAAGCATGCGGCTCACACCCTGGCTTCTGCCGCCTGGTTCCTTCTTGCAGAATGACCCCGACGCCCTCCCGGTCCCGAATTTCCCCCAGCCCACCTCCCTGCAGCGCCCAGCCCTCTCCCGGAACACTCACAGAAGTTAAGTCCATTGCTCATTTAAAAGGTCAATTCACTGCAGCTCGTTAATTTAACTGGGGTTTGCCCCACACGCTTATTTCAGTCACAGCAGTGCCTTGGTTTGCAGTGCATTAAACGAAGAGCCCTAGAGTTGCATGATACCCAGTGAAGACAGGCCTGCAATGGGCAGTGCTCGGAAAGGCTCTGGGTGGTGTCCCAGCCTGACCACAGCGCGCTCAGGCAGTGAGGGGCCGTAGCGCCGACTGTCCATGGCTTTACTCCAGGCTTGCGAAGCTCTGTGGGGTTGTTCCGGGTCTGGTGCAGCCAAGTGAATCACAGACGACCGTGTGGCCACCGCCAGTGTGTGTCCAGGTAACGTCTCCTCCTAACCTCACGTCCGACTTTCAGGGCTCAAAGTGCGGGGACTTGATCTCTGACGTGACCAAAAAGGGCCAGTGGTGGCTTCAGCCCTCTCGAGGCGAGACTCAACAATACATCCCTATGGCTGATCCACTCAGACCGCCCTGTGCCCGGCAGTCGCCGCTGGCAGCCCAGATGAAAGGCCTCCAGCCTCCTGGGGTCTCGTGTAAGCAACATCCTTGTTTCAGAGCCGTCCAAGAGCAGCCGGAGTGCGCAGCTCTGATAAATCCGCGGCTGGCTGGGCCCTGCTGATGTACTGCCCTGAAGTCGTTGTGGCTTTTCCAGCAGCACGGCTGGTTTGTAGCGTGACTGCTGCTCCAACATGCTGGATTTTTGTCTTCGCCCAACACAGGCAGCTGTTTAATGTCCGGGGCAAGGCCCCTCTCCACTGCTGAGCAGGGAAAGCCGGAGCCCCTTGGGAAGTAGGAGCTGTGTAGAGGGGGCCTCAGCCAGCGCTCTGCCCCAGGGTGACTCGTCAGCTGGAGACAGGCTGGGACTGGTGACTCCACCGCAGGTTTGGCTCAGAGGCAAAGCATTCTGGGAAGGGGAAGCCGTTTGCTCTCTGCAGGTGGTGTCCTGTGGTGCCTGCCGGGCCGGGCGGCGGTTGAGGACAGCAGTACCGGAGACTACGATTTCCCCAAAAGGGGGAGTCAGGAATTGGTTTTTGAATTGTATTAGTCTTACCAGTGAGCATAAGGCATTTAACTGCCCATAGAAACACCTGGTCCATTGATCCCACAGCCCAGCTGGGTGGGCCAGGCAGACAGTTTTACTGTGTTCAAAAGGGGCAGGTGATGAAAGCCCACAGAGGAGCATAAAATGTGACCTTAACAGAGGGCTGGATGTTGGAAAATGACAATAGGGTCATAGGAACAACAAGAGGGAAATCAGAGGGGGAACATCTGCTGAACAGCTTAGATGTCTGTACACGTGCCAGAGAACTGGAAGTATTAGTACGTGAGCTAAATTCTGACTTAGTTGGCATCACAGAGCTGGGATGGGGGTGGCGGGATGAGTCTCATGACTGGAATATTGGCCTAGAGGGGTACAGCTGTTTGGGAAGGACGGGCAGAAAAGAGGGAGGAGGTCTACACTCATTCTGATGTCCAGGAGGAGCTGAGAGGCAGCCCAGTTGAAAGTCTCTGGGTAAAGACAGAAGGGGTAAAATTAGGGGTGACATCATGGTAGGAATCTACTCCAGACACTGATCAGGAAGAGAGGTAGATGAGGTGTTTCTAGAACCAATCAGAAATAGCCTTGAGGGGTCTTGAACGATCTGGACATTTGTTGGGAAAGTCATACGGCAAAAACCAAAATTTCCACTACGTTCTTGGAATGTGTTGGGGACGACTGCTTGTTCCGGACAGTGGAGGAAATAACCAGGGTGGGGATCAGCCTTTTTTGACTTGATTCGGACCAACAGGGAGGACTGGTAGCGAATCTGGAGGCAGAAGGCAATTTGAGTGAGCGTGATCATGGGGTGCCAGGCTGGGAGGATTTGGCTGGTGCCTGTCTGTGAGATTCATGAGTGGCCTGCGAGACGCTCCCGTCCCTGAGCTGCTCGTGGTGCAGCTCCCCTGAGGCAGCTTCCCCTTCGCATGGGGCGGCTGGGGGAAGGACTTGGCCATGGAGGCCCCCACAGGGGCCTGTGCTGGATCACCCCACAACACCTGGGGGTGTCTGCTGGAAACCTGCCACGTACCCTGCGCTCCCTCCTCCTCCACACGAACCCAGCAGAGAAGCAGCCCTCCAGGTCTGTTCGCAGCCGCTGGGTCTGCACCAGCTGTGGGCAGCGGTGCAGCCTGGTTGTGCCCAACAGCGGGGCCCTGCGTGGATGGAGCCGGACCCCAGCGCCCGCCCGAGAGCCTGGCTGTCTGCACAATGGATTCTCCTACCCCACCCTGGCCGGCAGGATGCAGACTTTGCTCTGGGCCTGGGGAGAGCACGCCGGGGATGCTGTCGGGGGGAAGCTGACTAGCTCCCTGCAGTGGAGAGGGGCCCGACTGGCACTCGTTACCAGTCCGGCCTGCCCGCCGCCCTTGTGATCTGCAGGGCCTGTGAGCACATGCACCGTGAGCTCTCTACAATTGGCATCGTCCTGGCTAACGTGATGGAGACGGGCTCTGCCTGGAGCTGTCCCAAGCTCTGGCTTTACCCCGATGGCTGCCCAGTGCCCGATCTCGTCATGTTCAGGTGCTCAGAGCCCACCTGTCGCTCTGCTAACTACAGGCCAAGCCTTGCCTTTTCGACCTGCCCTCTGCCCAGCTGTGCAGGTTCGACAGGTAACTGCTTACATCAATGTAGCGACCGCAGGGAGAAGCGGCCCCGTGTCTCGGGCTCAGGATTCCCTTGCGAGCGGTGGAGGGGTCAG